CTCTGTGCACACACGGCTCTTCACAGGCACTACGTCACTTTCAGATTTGGCCCCGTTTTCTCATAGGTAACCAGAAAACCCTCGCTGTACCCTCAGCGGAAGGATCCTCTAACCTGTGCCCTTAAGTGACCTGATGCTAAGGACATGACGGTTAAGAGTGAGACCCGCCCCATCCGCTCTCAGGAGACGCAGACTCCGTGGCACGAAGCACAGGTGTCCTCAGGAGACGGAAGGTCGAAGGCGCGTCTGGTCCAAGCGCGTGTGTGTTTTAAGGCACGTGCTGGGCGAGCCGGACCGGCACCGGCCGGGCCCCGACTAACTCACGGCAGCTTCGCTCTCCTGGGACCAGCACCTGACTCGTCATCAGACTCCAAAGAGACATTTGGGGAATTTGAGCGAAACGAGGGATAGGTTTGTGAATTCCATTCACGTGACGCGCCGCCCCCCGCCCCTGGCTCGGCAGCCACAGTCGTGAGTACGGTCCACCGTGGTCAGAACGTAGCGGCCCCGTCTGCATGCAGACCCGTCGCCCGCCCGACTGGGAGTATTTCCCAAAGTGAGGACGCAGTAGCTCCTGTGGGGCGTGGGACACTCAGGCGACTGGCCCACGCCGCCACACACCCACCCAAAGCCCGATGCCACAGCCCAAGCTGGCGGGGGGAGCTGGCACGGTGTGCGTCACAGCGCGCACCTCACGGCTAACCAGGCATCTGGTGACAGTGTCCTCACGCGCCCCCGTTTCCCTCCTCATCCTTCCTCTCTGTGACAGGCGAGCCCCTAGCTCTGCCCTTCGCACTGGGGGCACAGGCCGGGGGACGAGCCGGAGCTGACACGCCGGCCAGCCTACGACCCAGGGCATGTCGCCTGAAGTGCAGGCCCCACATTATGCTGTGGGGGGCACAGCTGCCGTGCTCCCTGGAGATGGACGTTCTCGGGGACAAGGGGCCGTGACTCATGTGCTCCGTAAGCAGGCCCGCTGGGCCTGGCACTGAGGTCACTCCCTACGCGTGTGATTCTGTGAACTGCCAGCAGTGCCCAGGTGTTGGGTGGCTTTGAGACAAGAGGCATCACTAAAAAAAAAAAACCAAAAAACTAAGTTTTAACGGAGCCAAATGTATGTTCTAAAAACGCTTTAAGTGATGTGCCTCCCAGGGAGAATTTCACTAGAAATTCCATTCCCTCTAGAACGTTCTTTAAGCTGCACCGGGTTGGAATTCTTCTTCCTCTTAGGAAAGATAAATTCATGAAGTTGGAAACTGCGTTTGGAAAAGGCCAGCCTTGGGCCGCTTCCAGGGCGCACCGTGGCGGGGTTCCCCGGGGATGGGGCCCCGCATGGGAGGGCGGCTCGTGCCGCCAGCCGCTGACACTGCGATAGAGCAGGCACGTCGCCGAAGCCAGCAGGTTCCACCTGCTCCTCCCGAGCAATTACTATCCTTTTCCTCTGCAAAACCAGGTTCGCTACGCAGAAGCCACTGGCCCGTGCAGCACGTGCCAGACCGAAAGGCGGGAGCTGACAGGGTGTGTCGCTCGGCAGAGACCCAGCGTGACACCCGGGGGAGCCCACGCCCGCACCTTCCCTCCCTGCCCTCGTCCTGGCGGCTTCCGCGTGGCGTCCGCGTCTACGTGCTTCCTCTGCGTAGCGTTTTACCTGTTTTTTTCTGAGTCATAACAGCATGTACACTAAACAGATTAAACACAATTCTGTGGTTTCCAATAAAATGAATTCAGTTTTCTGGGCAAGAAAGATGAGAAGCATAGAGATTCTGGTGCCAAAACCTTGGTGGTGCCGAAGCGTCACTAAGGAACCGGCAGGGTTTCCTCCGCTCGGCGAGGGGAAGCTTTTGGGGTCCGGGGACGCACAGACTGGCACCCAGGCCTAGCAAAGACCCAGCGTCACCAAGCAAGGTGGTTTCTGTTATAAAAATATCAAAACATCATTTCAGGGAGTGTTTTCCTCGGGATTTCGGCTAGGGATCCATATTCAAAGTACAAAATAATTGCTGTTCACCAAAATATATCGTTGACGATAGCCATTACCCCCCACGTTTTTTGCATCTAAAGTGATTTGAAAGATAATATTCACTAAGAAATTTAAAAAAATCCTATCTACATCTCTCACACGCTGGAAAACGTTTTCAGACAGCGGCTCGTGGACCGTAGACCCCGCGACAAGTGGGCATCACTGAGCCCGAGACGGCGAGACGGGACAGGAGGCTCGGGGGAGACGCTGGACGGGGCCGAGCCCGGGGCCGGGGGTCAGAACACCGCCCCGTTTGGACCGAACACCCTCAGAGGGGTCGCCGACGACGATCG